AAAAGGAGATACTGAATTTAGATCAAGAGACTGTGGTAGGGGGTTGGAAAGATAATATGAAGATAATTCAGTTTCAAATTAATGAAATTGTTGCATTTAAGAAGGTTACTTTTGAACCCAATCTCTGGATGCTTGTTTATCTATGCTCTGGATAAAATGCTCTATTTTTGAAGGACTCTGGGGCACTCTAAGTTTATTCATACAAAAAGTGTTTTAAAATTTTAAATTAATTTCGAAAAGTTCTAGAATGGTCCTAGACTGGCTTATTTATCTATGACTAGAACCATATTCTCTAGAGAGAATTACAACCGAACTATAGCTGACATCTTTTGTATTCAATTAGTATATTTCTAATGGCGCATGGAACTTAAAAGGTTTGTATGTATACTAACTACTGTAAATGTCAAGTTTTCTTAAGTTATTATAAAAAATGAATCAAGCAGAAGTTACAAAACTAGTGTCTAGATTACGAATCCCCGTTAACCCCCATGTTAGAAAATTAAAAAATTTGATGGTCCTGAAGGGAGGTTGAGGAAATTGCAAAAAAACGTAACGGCTTTGATAAAATATGAAAGAATTGAATTGAACTACAATAGGGCCGATGAAGCTAGAGGCTATGCTGAACGAGTAAGTAGTAAAAAGTAGTTTTTTTTATTATCAAATAATTACAAAGTTGATTTTCAGCTTATATCGGATGCTATTCGTCATGGTGACACTCATAAAGAAACAATGGAAATGGCTGATTTTTGGATTTTAGAAAAACAATTTGTACATAAGTTATTCAAAGTACTAGTTCCAAGATTTGAAAATTATAATATATCATATACAAAGTTATATCAAGCTCCTAGAGAATATCCTGGCCGACACTATACTAGATCTGTTTTGGAACTTAGAGGAAATCCATTTCCACCTCTATCTCAGAAATATACAGGCAACAAATTTACTTACTGCATAATGTTTTACTTGATGAAGCACGAAAAGAATATCGATCTAAAAAATATGCTGAAATGGCTGAAAAAATGTTGAATCACCACCTGCAAACCCTTCTGTTGTGAAAAACATGCATAGAAACATATGAATTTACATATTAAATATATTTGTAGTAAGTTTTTTTTTTGATAAAAAAATGGAATTAATATAGTATAAATAAAAAAATGATAAATGCAACTGGGTTTATATTACCTACAACAATTTATATGAAAAGCTGTGATTCTGGTATGTTTTTAAGTTTTTATTTAAAATGTATATATATATATATATATATATATATATATCTATATATATATATATATATATATATATATATATATTTGATTTTATACTTGATTTACATATAATCATGGAAAATGTGATGGTATGCATGTATTACTCATATAAAATAGTAAATGTGATGGCAATATATATGCAGATAATGTATATTAATTTTATTTTGATTTATCTACATTAAAAATTACTGCATCGAACAATTTGGATGTATCTATTTATTGCATAATACATTATTATGTGATACACTTCATTTAAATAATAATCCTTTAATATAATATTGTTGACATTGATTAGAATATTAATACAATAACAGAAAGGATTGTTATAGATGTTGTATTCTAATCTAATCATTTTGAATTATAATTTGTTTTGCAGATTTAATATACTAGTTTTATGAAAAAAAGTGAAAAAACCTCATCCATTTTTCTATTTGTATAAATAATTAGATGATATCTTTATGCGTTTGGGTTGAAACATTGAACCAAATATATTTTGGCTTCTTATTATATATATATATATATATATATATATATATATATATACTCGTATATATATATATATATATATATATATATATATATCTGATTTAAACATATGTCTTAACTGCATATAAACATACAATCTGCATATATAATTTAATTTTATTAATTAAATAAGATTGAAGTTAATGCCACATTGCAGATTTTAGCAGGAAATATTATATTCAACATAACATGCCAAAGTCTGATGTGTGTGCATTTTATTACCTTAAATATCCGTCAATGATTTCTAAGTTTTTTTTCTAAATTTCAAATAATTTTTAAATTTAAATATATTTAAATCTAATAACACTCGGGTTTTTTTACAATAATTGTTAATGATTGCTAATTGTTTGCGGAAGTATGAATAATGAAATTGAATATCTTACTAATCTTTACTTAATTGGAAAAAGTTGGTGCTCTACATACAAATATTATGCATGACATATAAATGGATTAATTTACAACTAATAAATCCAGTATATGAGCTTTTCCAACTAGTATATAGTCATATAAAATTAGGCCCAACACAATTTAGGCTGTTAAAAAGCGTAATCTATTTGTCGGTAATCTTTATTTTTTTGAACCAACTAACATAATATGCCAATAACTTTTATTAAATATTTTTTTATTCAACGTTCTTACATCAAAGTAATTGACACCATAAAGTGGCAAAACTGCCTTGAAATGTTACTGTAATTGTTGGCATATTGACGAATGGTAGCATTTTCCATCAATGACAATTTGAAATATATAATGAATGGCAATAGTTTTATTATATTATTATTGATGTCCATATCCTAATTTAGTGTATCCTATTTGCGGAGAAGCCGCGTAGCTCTGCTGAGGCGCTGCTGCGTAGCCTGCCGGTGCTGCAGCATAAGTAGCAGGTACTGCTGCATAAGCATGCGTGGTGGCAGCTGGTTGTGGATGATATGCTGCTCCAGCAGAAAATTTACCAGCAGTGCCTGCTAAATACCCTGCTATATGTGAGCTTTGTGGTGCTCCGCTGTAAATAGCTTGTTGTGGTGCGGCAGCATAAATTTGTTGAGGTGGCGAGGCCGCTGCGTGATTGTCATATGCGGCGTATACCTGCGAAAATAACATTCATTTTATTTATTCCTGATGTACACTATGGATGCAGTCTTATCAGTGAAAGTAATCCGAATATAGGTAATTTGAAATTTATGTAATGTTCATAAAACATTATGAATGATGGTAAAATTAATAGTTTATTTAAGTATATAATATTATACTTATTATCTTCTATATATATAAAAATAGGTCGGTTTTTCCTTCCTGACGAAATAACTCCAAAACGCACGAACCGATTTCGACAATTTTGCATTCGTTGGAAAGGTCTCGGGCTCCGCAAGGTTTATAGCTAAGAAAATTAGTGGTGAATGGCATCGTGCCCTAATGCAAATTGCTGGAACTTCACGCACCGTACTTAAAAATTCGAGTAATGACATTAGTGAGAATTATCAGAATTATGCTTGGTTAAGTCAACGATCAATTCTTGCCGCAAAGAATAATGATGTACACGCACTGAATTTCACCATTCAATCAAAACTTGCCGGCGATTTGGTGACATACCAATGATTCTGACAGGTCTTCCGTTTGACTGCAATTGCAATTTCCAGTTGGCCCTGCGTTCGCAATAACAAGTCGCAAGGCCAATCCCTTAGTGTTTGCGGGATAAATTTCAAATAGATTATTTAGAAAATCATTGTTTTTCACATGGGCAGTTATACGTTGCCTGTTCACGAGTTGGAAAACCATCCGCTTTGTTTGTGTTAACGTCAGACCAAAAAACAAAAAATGTGGTTTACCAAAGAGCACTTCAGTGAAACGGATAATTTGCGGATTCACTTTCATTTACTTAGAGAAGTTCAACTAAAACACTTCATTTTTGTAATCGAAATAAATTCATTACTGCTGTATAATAAAATC